GGCATATTTTTTAATGTATAACCACAGACACATTCATAAAATAATTACTTTATTTATTTCTTTAATGATCCAAGTTTCTTTCAGAAGGTTTAGTTGTGAGAAAAAACAAATGGTTCAGAATTTGGCTTTTACCATGAGGAACTATAACAGAAAGTCATTAAATTTTAGTTGTAAAAACGATGTAACATTACACTTGAATAGACTCATTTATCAAGCAAATAACACTGTCATAAAAAGTAACATATACAATAGAAAAACACAAACATAATATTTAGGACTTGAAACTACATATTATGTAAAACAAATTATTCTGGCTCCCAAACCTTCCTTAGTTATTATAGATTCTTATAATTTCTAATTATCATACACACATTAAAATTTCAATACTAAAAGTATTGTAAATTTCAAGTTTATTAATGCAATCTCACACACATGTATATATATAATTTTAAGCCAATTTATTCTTAGTATGTAAATAAAATGTTTTTAGCAATGCACCTCACTGATTTACATTAGCTGCATTCTCTTAATGAATTTATTACCAAAATGTCAGATTAACCTGAGCACCAACTGGAATATTAAAAGAAAATACAGGAGTATGTAAAAAGAAAAGGGAAGGAAAATATAAATATCCTACAAAAAGCATGATGAAAATATAAGATTGGTTTCATTTGTGTTCTAACACTTTACAAATAAAAATTATCATTTTTAATATATTTTTGTAAGAAAAATAACATTTTTATAATTCTGGTGTTAACCTGTTTGGGAGACAATTTTATTGTATAATGATGTCTGGCAGTGATGCTGATATTACAAAATAAACTCAATATAAAGAAAAATATGTAGGCTTTATACATGAATTTATTCCATGCATGATAATGTGCATTTCAACAGAAAAGTACAAAACATGATATTGTTAAACTTGTTCTTTGATAATTATCTAAATTTTCAGGAGTTTAAGCAGAAACCTAATTTCTCTCTTTGCATATGGTGTGTGTGTGTCTCTCCCTATATATATATATATATATATATATATTACTATACATGTATATCTTTCCAATTTTCTTACATTTTTATCATTTTCCCAAACAGAAATCATATTTTGTATGTTTTAAACTATTTATATGGTTTAATATTTTAACTCCTTTAATAACATATGTACATTACACCCAACTTTATATGAAGTAGGGCCAAGATACTACAATAGAAAGAGCAAATCTTTGTCGGCTAACTTAGTAAATTATTTTAATTATTTAATATTTTTAATGGATGTAGTGTTATTTACGATAACAGTAATCATCAGTTCTAGACTGTTGCAATTTTGTTCAGTTATGTGACTGGCCAATAATTACTTTATATACAAAACAAAGTTTGAAAGAATGGAACAAATGACAATCTAAAATAATAATAATAAAGGAAGAGATACCAAGAAAATACTAAACATTTCCTAAGTTTTAAGTTTTTCTTGATTATCTGTTGATCTGGCCTTAACAGGGAGGCAACGACAATATTTTCCTAGGGCAGCAAAATGTAGGATTGACAAAGAATAGTAATAGCAAAATGCAAAAATCAGAAAATTAGAGTCTGAACAGAAAATAAATGAATAGAAGGGAAGATAAGACGACAGAAATAATGACAAACACTGAAAGGAAGAACACTGTTCTAGCATAACATAGCAAAATTTGTACATATTAAATAATACACCTTACTTTACACACTTCATCAAACCCAATAATGCATTTTTATGTTTGGCCTGAGGCCAGCACTTTTGGGTTGAATAACAACTATTGGTGCTGTTAGTACTAAATTCTCTCAAATCACCAGAACATTGAAAGTATGATGCTCTGCATTCAGTCTATAAGAGAAAGTTGAAAACAGTAGCAAAGATTTTTTGTTTAGGCAGAGTATTCATGATGAAACTTTGTTGAATGGATGGCAACTGCCTGTTGTAGAAACACGAGTGTAGAGGACGACTTTTATCTTCAGGTCAGTGGTGTATGGTATAGTTGGTCTTTATAATATTCTGGATTGTGGAGAGCATGTTATGATTGGTTGGTTTATCCCTGTTTCTGATTGGAGGAAAGATTTCCCATAGATTCAACCAATGATAGCCACAGGTTACTCACCTTTAATCTGGAATCTCTGTTTAATGAAGGTTTAATTGTGTTAATATACAATGATTCTTTAATTTTTCTTGTCTTCCAAAATTTATCTGTGTTGATGATTCTAGTTCTTTCCCAGTTCATTTTGTGTTCAGTTGACATGGCGTGTTCTGCTGTGGTTGAATTTTGTGTTTTCATGAGTCTTGTACTGTCTTTATGTTCTTTTATTCTTGTCACAAGTCATCTTCCCATTTCTCCAATGTATGTTTCATTGCAGGAACATGGAACACGCTCTCCACAATTCACCAGAATACTATAAAGGCCGACTACATCGTACACACACTGACCTGAAGATGAAAGGCAGAAGACTTTCAAAACATCATCCTCAACACTTGTGTTTCTACAACAGGCAGTTGCCGTTCTTTCAACAAAATTTAATCAGGATTAAATATTATTCATTAAATATTTTACATTATTCAACAGGCACTATACCATTTGTGAGATTGTAATTTTTGGTGTCATTCAGTTACATAACAAGTTTCAATACAAAAGTTAAGAGTTTGATACTTGTTTAATGCTGAAATCCTTCACACCACAAAAACCCAAAGTAAATATGAATTGCTTGTTATGTTCTTTACATTATACAATTTACTGGTCAGGATATTTCAAATGAAGTGTTTTGTAGTATAGTAATCAACAGAAGGCCATTTTTTATTATAATGCTACAACTAACACTTGGCTCTTGATTCCTTCTTGAAATTATTTTTAGCCTATTCATACTAGCCATTGAATTCAGTCAAAGATAAATATATGCCAGGTAAAAATTTAAAAGTTACAATACTTTCTGAAACAAAGGCAAACAGTTTAATTTTCATTTCTTCAGATGTAGGAGTGAGAATTGGAACATTTTATATCACATTATTTATCTTTATTACAAGTTTCCTAGTCACTGACAATAACACAATCACTTTCATCACTACTAGAGATTTCAAACACAAGTGGACTTGGTGTTCTTAAGTCACGCGGGTTTGGTGGTCTCGAACCTTCATTTGTAACTTGTATTTCCATGCTATCTGCCTCTGTTACTTGTGAAGTTTTATGTGCAGGATGAATAAGACTGAGGTCTTGTGGTACAATTATTGGTAAATCTTCATCTTGAAAGCTACACACATTACTGTTTTTTGCAAAATATACGCAGTTATTTTGACTTATGAATTTATTTATTTTTTGTAGTTTAATACTGTTTGCCTCAGTAGTTTGTGGAGTTGTATGTAAATGATGGGTGAGATTGATGTCTTCTGGTACAATCATTTGTAGATTTTCATCCTCAGTGGTACTCACAGGACTTTGTGTTAAAAGATCAACACAATCATTCTGGCTCATTGATTTATTTGATTTTTGTAATTCTATTCTATCTACCTCAGTTAAATGTGGACTTTTATGTGAATAATTGGAGAAACTGATGTCTTCTGGTACAATTATTGGTAGATCTTCAACGTCAGTAGTACTTACAGTATTGTTTGCTAAAAATACTACACAGACATTCTTGCCTGTCAATCTATTTGTGTTTTGTAATTCCATTCTATCTACCTCAGTCACTTGTCGAGTTTTATGTGAATTGGGGGTGAGACTGATGTCTTGTGGTACAAGTGGTGATAGATTTACATTTTCAGTGGTTCTGACAGGACTATTTTCTAAATGGACTAAATAATTACTTGTTAATTCTTCAGTAATTTGTTGTTCCATGTTGTTTGCCTCTGTTGCTTGTTGAGTTTCATCTTCAGAATGGAAGATAGCGACTTCTTGTGACCCCATCACTGGCTGGTCTTGACCATGAACGCCACTTGTATATTTATATGGTTCACAAATCAAATGATGCATCTGGCTTAT